AAATTAAGCATAAAAAGCATTTATGATGAAAGTAAAAAACTGGAGGAAACAATGATAACCACATATTACCAACACTTTATTTCTTAATCTCTAAATCATGAGGCCACGTACTGTATGTCCTCACTTGAACAGAGGTAACAGCAAAGAACACAAACACATTAAGAAGCACTTCAAACCTGTGGAAACCCAAACTGGACTTTTTTGAAGCCAGAAAAATAAAATAGCTTTTGGGAAAGTGGCACTGCTTCAAAAAGCAACGAACAGAACAGGTGGAACAATATTTTCATTCTGTGTGTGGCAGAAGTGTCTGAGAAACTTGGGCTTTTCTCCAAATCCAACAGTCAAGTGCACTCCAAACTAACAACACCATCAGACAAAAACTGGTTCACCCTAAGAGCAAAATACTCAAACACAAAGTGGCAAAGTATACTCAGACCTTTACTAAACACCCTCTTTATGAACACATGGCACAACACCGAAGAGCCGTTTCCTCAGATCAACACTTTGCTGTCCATCTCAAGGATAAAAGACACTCTTCTGAGGACAGTTTGTCCACTCCATCAAGAAGAAGACAAATAGTTTGAGAGAAGAGTGGCAGAAACCATTTATATTCAATCAGAAGCAAACTTTAGACAGAAGTTACTTCAGATATCATTTAGCCCATACGACTAAGCTCCTTTTCAGTCAGCTTAACAAGCATGGGAAAAAAAAATCACACGTTTGTCAGGTAGGAAGACACCATAGAGAAGATGTTGAATGACCCACAGTACTGTTGGGTCAGTGACACATGTGTGACATCAAAAACATCAGTATATAAGGCCATAACCTCAGAATTGAGGAAGTCGTTTTGATAAAAAGTGAAACCTCAAGAACAAAGAAAGGAAGTCGAGTCACTTTCTACTTATGTTGTTAGAAATACCACAACTTACCACAAATACCACAACTGTTGTGTGTTTCCTTGACTGATGAAGCCTTGCGGCTCGAAGGCGAAATGTTTCAGCACAAAAAAAGAAACTGTCCAGATGACCTGACTGAAAAATGTTGGATTGTATACCTGGATTATTGCGCATGGACTTTGTTATTAAATGAATGAGGATCTACAATAGTTATGTTTATATGAATATAAGTAATCAAATTAAACGGCTATTCGGATTATTCTTTGTTGATTCAGCTCGATCCAAATTAATTTGTAATCCGAAGGAGACGGATGATTTATACAGATTCATAATCCGAATGGTGTGCATGTAAACACTTAATCTGATCATTTTTATTCCGATTGTGGAAAACTGACCTGACTGTGCATGTGCAACCTATGTCTACCTAACATATTTCCGCCTGGCTAATGCTAATAATATTAGCGTGTCAGGGAAATAAAAGTGGTTGGTGAGCGACACAACATTTCTACTAGAAACTTTGAAAGAGCTCAGAATTATCTGTATTACCTGTAGCTCAGTCAGGGAGTGCAGTGACGTCTCCACCATCATTAAAACCTGTCGCAGGTCCATTATGGGCGCTCAGGTTTGTTTACGTTCATCACGGAAGTAGAACTTCTTCTTCAGTGTTTTTTTAAGGACAGTTTACCACTCTGCACATTCTATTCAGAATAAAAGCCCGCTGCATGTAAACACTCGTTGTGAATGGATTGGGCCCATGTAAACGATACATTTGGATTATTTTATCTGAATTCATTTCAATTTGATCAACGAATTTTGTGCATGTAAACATAGCTACTGACATAACTACAAAGGAAATTATAAAATCTGAACTGTTGAACGTCTTGTTGAAACTTGTTTCATAGGTGAACATCTACTGTCCTTTATCATTAACAATTAGGTTTAAGAAGTCCACAGTCAGTTTCTGTAACACCCCCTGAACATAGACATGTAACACACCAGTGCAATACCATCGTACTAGAACTCATTCTATATTGGGTTTCAGAATATGTTCACAAAACCAAGAGCTGGGTATTGGCTCTAATGTCATCCAGTAGAAAGTAATCACATCCTGCCCTCTTCACATGACCTCAGAATGTGAGTACTGAGCACTGAGCACAGCTCACCAATGTAATATTATTGTTTCCTGCAGTATATTTGATTGTATATGCATTCTCCTTACATTGCTTACTCCCCCACCCTCTTAACCCCTCATCCTCAATCAATCCCCCACAAAAGCCTGTCAATGGCAGCGATATCCGCCAACACCATTCCTCATGCTTCACCATGCTCCAGCAAAGCTCGGGAAACAGCAGAATATACAGGAGTCGGTCTGCAGGGAGAGAGAGGGAGGTGGGAAGGGAAAAGAGAAGGAGGGGAGCGGGACTGAATGGGGAAGCAATAAATGGAAAGAAGGGGAGGGGGCAACTTTGGGATGGGAGCCAATCCAATTACAAGCAGCGGTGCAACCCTGGTTTCTCTGGCGGCACTAAATTCACATTTCAGTGGTCTCTGTCTCCTTCCCTCCCCCAATACCTTCCTCATTCTTTTATCTCTGTGTGTTCCTATTTCTCTGTTGTTATTTTTTTCTGCTCATCATGGCTCATACAACTGTGCATCTTTGCACACCACACTCCTCCCTCCCTCTCCCCCAGCTGTCTCCCTTTCTTGGCTCCATGAAAGAAGGTATAGGACTGTGTCACCAGCAAAGCATCAAAGCTTGCCATCCTAGCTGTGTCATGCTCAGATCAGCAGGGAGCCTGCAGCATCCTACTTCATCTGAGCGTCTCACAGTGCTCAGTAAGAGCACATCCTGCCTGTGCAGCTAGGGCTCACCAGGTCACCCTCAGCCCTCCCTTTGGAGACTTGAGGAATAAAAGGCTAATATAAGACTCCCAGAGTAAATAGGAACAAATCAGAAACACATGCATACACAGGTATAAAACAGTCTTTAACTGTCTTTTTGTCTTTAACCTTTTTGGGGATATAAAACAGTATTAGTGGCAGAGTCAAATTCTTCTAAACTCCAATCTTTTGTAACAATACTGATTACTGATTACCCATTAGTAAAGAGTTTGTTTTACAGTACACTGCCATGGACTGTTGCCGAAAGTAGCTTACTGGTTGGTGGTCATTCTCTCTTTCACTTTAAATAACCCGTCAGAGCTGGCTGACTCATGGGCTTTGATGCAAATAATGGGCTTCACGTTGTCCAAAATCATACCTGCATGCAAACTAGGGCACAGTAGTTGCAATGGCTTTTCTAGTCAAATCTTTTCAAACAAATTGGGTTCCAACAAAGTCTAGCATGTCATTGTTTCAACAGCACTCCTCTACTAAAATAAATCTGGTTTAAGCAGGTGGACAGCAGAACAGTGGTTAAAGCTGTTGCCTCTGAGCAAGAAAATTGCAGGTTCAAACCCAGCTGAGACATTTATGTATGTTTGCATGTTCTCCTCATGCATGCAAGGGTTTTCTACAGGTACTTCAGTTTCATCCCACAGACCAAAAACATAGGTAGGTTAGGTTTACTGACAACTCTAAAGTGTCACTTGGTGTGAACGGTTGTTTTCTTTGGCTCTATGTGGCCCTGTGATGGACTGGCAACCTGTCCAACATGTTAACATGCATCTGAGCTCTGGAGATAAGTCAAGTCAACTTTATTTATAAAGCACGTTTAAAACAGCAAAAAGTACCCCCTGCAAACCTGAACAAAAATTGCAGGTAAAGAAAATGAACAGATTTAAACGGTTCAAACAACCAAATCTGATTTGAAAAGTCCCGTGAGTTTCTGTCAATGCCTCGTGTGTGTTTTACTTTGATAACATCACTCTCCACTACATTAATTGATGATTTTATAGCTAATACATCAATTTGCTTTGATACATTTAGGAATCTAAAATTCTTCATAAAGTTACCTCATAGGGAGAAGATGGTAAATAATAAGGTAAAAATGGATCTATCAACAGAATACGTTTACTGTAAAATGTGCTCCTTTAACAAAACTGACACCATCCTCTCAGTCATGTCATGTGATGGTGTGTGCTCCAGCAGTCACAGTGAGCACTGTGCTGCAGTTTGCCTAGGCGTTCATCTCATGTCCTGGTTAATTCCCCCTCCAGTTTACTGTTACTGTGGTTACAGTCGTGGCCCTATAGGCAAGTCGGAACAAAACACAGCAGCATGCGTGTTATTTTGTTTTGTTTTTGTGTTGTGTTTATGTGTATACATATTAAAAAATATCCAAGATGGGGCAACAAATAAGAGAGACGGAAGAGGACATCAGCCTCCAGCCACAGCCAGAAATGTAGAAGGAACCAGGGAGATAAAACAACATCAAAACATTGTTTTTTGTCTCATCAGATATTAGCTTAAGCATGGGATTAAATTATGAAGATTTCTTTCTATCACAACCATCAAAGCACATTTAGTGAAATTAGTGAAACTAGAAACTCAACTAGCCTGAGTGAACAGAGTCCAACTCATTTCTGCTGAACTGTTGGACTTAAAATACTAAAAATCTTGCCATATGTAACAAGATGGTTGGAGTAATTTTATGAAGCTGTTGTGTGTGAGTTTGTGGTAATCTTTCTTCTGACTGACAGCCAGGCTTCTCATCCTTGAACTGGAAACCTGGTGTGGCAACATGACAAATGCTTTTCCTCTGAAGGAGTGTGAAATTTGTCATGACTAGCAAGCCAGGGACCTTAAACCTTCTGCCGTTCAGTATTTTCTCACACTGATACAAAGAAGGTTAATTTATGGGGTCTAGTCTTTCTTTACTTTCTGACTTGGTGAGCCCCCTGAGTCCCCTACAGAAAGGTGTCCAATAAAACTAACAGGTCATTGCAGGTTGTTCAACACTGCAACACCGAAGTTCCTTCATCAATAAACGGCTCATGAACATTTCACTGAAATAACCACTGCCATTGTTTTTCCCTGACAGCTTTTATTGCTTAGATGGTCATTTTCTCCTTGACTCTGATCCAGATCCACAACCTGACATCTTGTGTACCACAGTGATTATGCGCGCTAAACAAGAGAGAAGAAAAGAAGAGTTCTGCTTACCTTCTTCAAACGTCCACTCTTGGTGCCAACAAAAGCCACACAGTAGCCATTGTATACATAGGAAGTCACAGAGGTCATGCGGTCCCGAGTCTCGGTGTAGAGAGTGTGACCAGTCACCAGCTGAGAACCACCAAGTGGCTGGTTGATGTCCAAACCGCAGAACGAATCATCAATAGGTACCGGCTGTAGACAGAGAACACCAAAGATTAGAGTACTACCTGTAAATACATGACAAAAGAAAAACTAAAACTAGAAAATAAAAACAGTGATTATGATTATGAAACAGCCTTGAAGTTAACCAAAACAAAAAGTGCTTGATATGAAAACTATTGCAGAAAGCGGATACTATTTGTCAGAGGTACTCATAATTTTAGACAAAAATTAGTGGTAGTTTTGTAAAGGAAGGCAGCTCTAAGCGCAGCTCTGGAGATTGACAGAGTGGTGAATTTGTGGAAAAACGTATCAGCGAGAGTGTGAGATTAGAATGGAAACTGGTTGAAGTGAGAGTGACTCATGCAAATGTTTGTCTTATTGATAAGCTCCATAGATATATAGGCTCTACTGGATTGAGCTCCAGTTACCTTGACCCATCATCACACCTCTGCAGGAAGACACAAATTGGATGACAGCTATGTGACAACCACACAACTCTAAACCATGCATATGACTGAAAGGGTCATAATGATTTGTTCTAATTTCTCATTGACTTCCACTGAGATTTGCCTTCTTTAAAAACTGAAAGCTTCATTTTAACATATACCTCCCAGACAAAACCTTATAGATGCATGAACATTGGTATGAGATGGCCAGTGGCTTCGCTTTTTTAATGTGCAGCGTTTTTCTTCAGTACAACTTTTAGTTGGTCTGTCCGAGGTTTTGATTTCTACTCTGCATTTCTGTCGTCTTGTCTAATTAGAAGTTCTGTCGGAGAGTGACACAGCTGCATGGTTACGATTGGCTTAATGAGGTCATGAGAACAACTTAAACATTGATCTTGGTTTATTTATCAAAAAGTCAGTGTTTTATCAGCTTAGAGCATGACAATTATTGATGGTTTTTTTAGACTGTTTGGTAACTCTAAATTGTCCCTAGGTGTGAGTGAGAGAGTGAATGGTTGTTTGTCTCATTTGTCTCTGTGTCCCTGTGACGGACTGGAGACCTGTCCACGGCGTCCCCCGCCCCTTGCACAGCGATGGCTGGACATTGGTACCAGTGACCCCCGCAACCAAAAAAGGAAAAAGCAGGTAAAGACATGGGATGGGATGGATGGATGTTTTTTTTTTTTTTTAAAGAATGTTGATGGATGATGGAATGCAATGGCACAGAATTGCTTTCGAACAGAAAATGGCTTCAGAACTGCTTTTGTTTTGCTTCCTAAGAAAATACAATTGCCCTTTCCTCTTCCCCTTCAGTGTATTTCAAGAAGAGCACATGGAGATTGATGATACTAATGCAAGAAAGAGGAAGAGGTGAAAAAGCAGAAAGGAAGTGTTGGTGTTGTCTGGTGTTGAATCAGGTCAGCTGACACTTTGAGTGTCAGTGTCCTCAATGTGTCACGTGGAGTAAACCAACCATCCAAGCCCCTTTCCCTTATATATCTCAGACCAGACCACTCACACCCTCTGAATATTCATATCTGTGCTCTAACACCAACTCGTTTGTTCCCTTTCCGTCACTACATCTATCTCTCATCTGTGTCTGTGTCTTTGTCTCTGTCAGAGAGGAACCCTAATATGCAGACTGTGCTGAGAGACATTTCCCATTGGGAGTCAGATCAACCTCTGTTAACATTTTCTACACACTTTCAAGCACAATAATGCTGACTGTGCATAATCACTTCTGCTTATACAGTCATGCCTCTCACTTTATGGCATTTCCTTTTATTTTCTTTACCTAAAATAGCCCAGCTTGCTTCTATACCACATAAAACAAATCACTAGAGCTTTATAATACCTTCCTCTATGTTTATGCAAACATACAACATATTTAGTTGAATGCCTTTTTACACACACATTTTGGTGATAAGTAATCACATAGTATGAATCAGATTGGAAATCAAGACGTTATCTTGATGAATAGTAATGATTTCTGGATTTTAGCTTTATACATTTTAATTCCTTCAAAATCATGCAGCTATTCCACATATGGTCTGCTGGACTCCACGCCATTTGGTTCTGATTACATCTAGATTGTTCAGATGATGTAGGCTTAAGCCTTGGCAGACATATCAAGTCCCCCTAGACTTGAAATGTTCGAGCTTTCTTGTTCACCATCTTGTAGATGCACGGGTGTATTTTTAGGGGAGTGGTAGTGCAGAGGTTAAAGTAGGTGGACCTGTGATCGGAAGGTTGCCGGCACGACTCCCCAGACCGACAACGTCAAAAATGTGGGTGGAAAAGGTGAAGCACCCACACCTGCCTCCACCCTCATCTGCCCCACTCTGGACTCTAGAACAAGGCCCTTAACCCCCATCATCTATTACCAAACAGGTCTCTCTTGAAAATGAGTCCTCGTGACTCAATGAGACTATCTGTATAAATAAAAGTTTAATAAAAATGCTTTATTTCCTAGCCAAAGAGAGGAGAGTAGCGGTACTGACGTGGTTGAGCTATGGTCAGGCTAAATTTAGATTCTAACCTTGTGCAATGAATCGTCAGTGAACAACTGGAAGTGCTGAATTATGTTCATTTCATCTGATGATGGTACTGGCACATATTGTTCTCCTCCGTTTGAGGAAACTGATTGACATTTTGGGAAAAATGAAACTGAGATGAATCAAGATGTTTGTGTTCAGATTTTACTTTTGAGGGTATATCAGAGTTGTCAATAAACAAGAGTTAATTAGCCGAATGTAAAAGCAAAGCAAGAAGAGTGTGTTTGTTGGAGAAAATACTCATATACTGATACAAAATAATCCCCATCAAGATTCTCCTCTATGGAATTGACAACAAAGATAGTATGACTCTCCAGATGGCAGAAGGCTGGACGGATGGGTGATAAATCTTTGATTGGCTGCTGTGTGTGAATCCCCTGGCTCAGACTCCACTCCCAGCCTCAGCCTGAATGTAAGTGTTCACATGGTGCAATGTCTGGAAGAAGGAGAACTGAGCGTATAATTAAAGTTGTTCGTTTCAAGCTCAATGGCTACCTGCTGTTAGAAACAAACCAGAGGAAAACATACAGTCAGCGTGTGTAATTCAGTTAGAGACTGGGTAAGGCACGGTTAACAGATTACAAAACTACAATCTCAGAAGTGGGTGTGCCCTTGTGCCCTCACTTAAACATGTTCACAATGAAAGATGATCCCTCTGCTGACACCACAATCTATATGATCCATTACAATGATGATGAAAAGAAACAAATTTGCAGATCAGTATTAAATCTTTTTGTATTCTGTTTTGTTCTTTATTCATGTTTTATGCTATGACCTAGTTTTTGCACTTAAAAATGTGTGGACAGTAGTCCCTCGTATATCGCGGGGGATCCAGACCCTGAAGCCCAGCGATAAGTGAAAAACCGCGAAGTAGGAATAGTAGTAAGTAGTAGTAGTTTATTTTAGTATATATATATTTATATTTATATATATATAAATATAAATATATATATATATATATATATATATATATTTATATTTATATATAAATATAAATATATATATAT